CTCCTGGTATTTGTACATGTTCCTCATGAGCACAGTTAAGTGTTCTGGAATTTTCATTCTTGTCAGTGTTATCGATAATTTGTTATGATCCACAGAATTGAATGCTTTTTGCATTGTCAATAAAACACAAGTAAACATCTTTCTGGTATTCTTTGCTTTCAGCCAGGATCCCTTATTCCATGTCTTCTTCTGAATCCAGCTTGGATTTCTGGAAGTTTTCTGTCAATATACTGCTGCAAACGTTTTTCATTACCTTCAGTAAGATTTTACTTACATATGATATTAATGACATTGTTCGATAATTGCCACATTCTGTAGAATCACCTTTCTTTGCAATGGGTATAGATACGGATCTCTTCCAGTCAGTTGGCCAGGAAGCTGTCTTCCAAATCTCTTGGCACAGATGTGTGAGTGCCTCATCCATTTGTTGGAACATTTCAGTGGTTATTCTGTCAATTCTTGGAGCCTTGTGTTTCACCAGTTCCTTCAGTGGATCTTCAACTTCTTCCTTCAGTGCCATTGGTTCTTGATCATTTGCCACCTCCTGAAAGAGATGAACATTGACTAATTCTTTTTGGTATAGTGACTCTGTATTCTTTGCATCTTCTTTTCATGTTTCCTACATCATTCGGTATTTTGCCCATAGAATATTTCAATATTGCAATTCCAGGCTTGAAGTTTTTTCTTCTGTTCTTTCAGCTCGAGAAATGCTGAGTGTGTTCTTCCCTTATGCTTTTCTAACTCCAGATCTTTGCACATTTCCTTACAATAATTGACTTTGTCTTCTTGAGCTGCTCTTTGAAATCTTCTGTTAGGCTCTTTTATCTTGTTGTTTCTTCTATTTGCTTTAGCTACTCTGTTCAAGGGCAAGTTTCTGACATCCATTTTGTTCTTTTCTTCCTTTCCTGTCTTTTTAATGGCCTTTTGCTTTCTTCATGGGTGATGTTCTTGATGTCATCCCACAGTTGCTCTGGTTTTTGGTCATTGGTGTCCATTGCATCAAATCTGTTCTTTAAATGGTCTCTAAATTTAGGAGGGATATAATCAAGGTCATGTTTGGCTCTCATGGACTTCTTTTAATTGTCTTCAGCTTCAACTTGAACATGCATATGAGCAGTTGATACTCTGTTTCACAGTCAGCTCCTGCCCTAGTTCTGGCTGAAAATGTTGAGCTTCTCTTCACCTCTTTCCACAGATGTAGTTGATCTGATACTTTTGTACTTCATCTGTCAAAGTCCACATGTATAGGTGCCATTTATGTTGTTGAGAAGGAGCTCTGGTAGTGTAGTGCCTAAGGCATCTGACTGCTTAACCAGAAGCCTGGTGGTTCAAACCCACCAGCCACTCCTCGTAAGGAAGATTAGACGATCTCCTTTCGTAGTGAAATCTCCTTGGGAAACCAAGGAAGGGTCAGTATGAGTGAAACCCGACTTGACAGCAGTGAGTTTGGTTTTTTTGGTTTATGTTGTTGAAAACAGGTATTTGCAATGAATAAGTCATTGGTCTTGCAAAATTCTGTCATGGAATCTCCAGGGTTAATTCTGTCACCAAAGCCATGTTTTCCAACTACTGGTGATTCTTCTTTATTTTCAACTTTTGC